TTAGCTAAAAAAGAATCGTCACCAATTGGAAGAAATATAATCTAAATATCTATGTGGAGTAGATAAAGAACTGAGTTTCCCTTAACTAATTATAATTTTGGTCGGCGCATGGGATGTGTTATCGTGCAGACAACAGCCGAGGTTAATACGCATTTTTTTTTTTTTTGAATACTTAACACTCTGTTCAGCTTTGCAAAACAGTTACGTACATATGATATGATCGAATAACGTATTCACAAGCGAGAAAATCACTGGCCAACAACAATGCGAGTGTATTTTCGAAATTAGTATGCTATACATTAATTGATCATTAGGCAAAATAACGCGAATTATACCGAACCATTGGCTATACCGCGCGTAATTTAAATTTAGAAACAGCTGTTCGTAACAAAAGCACATTTATTAATCAGCTGGCTTTAACAGTAGCTAACTGCACGCAGAGTAACCTTTAACAAACAGTAAGGCACAACTTAAACCAAGAGAAATTCTGATGTTTACTTGAACTTCATTCGCTTGAAGAGTTTTGTTCGAATGTCCCCGTCTTCATCACTTCTAGCCCTCTATTTAGATTTTGGTGTTAACTAATTTCGATATTAGAAAGTTTGACAGCTTTATGGTTTTCAGCTTCATTCAGATTTTCGAGATAGCCGTATTCCTATCACTGAAAATTTTCCAATTTTTTCTACATAGTATAACAGAAGCTTATGGAAATTAACCAACTCAGCGAAATTCAGCCGCAATAAGTACAGCTGTAATCGAAATCAATTATTCCTGGCTACGCGGGACGATATAGGGAGAGGACCCTATGTAAAAAAAAAAGTGTCTGACTAAATATGGGCACCTATGGGAACGTCTACGGTATACATACAGACGAGTGATTGTAACTATCACATAATGAACGGTATTGATGTGACTGCATATGTTGCAGTTTGATGACACAGTGGGAAAAACATGAGGCGTTTCAGACCTAATCCTGGAGATCTACACTCAATAAATGTCTAACCACTGAATTATCTTAAACCTAGCTAGATCTAGAAAAAAAAAAGGTTAGCCAGCCATACGCTGTAGTTATCTGCCGAAACATTTTTTAAACAAATGTTAAATATTCGTTTTTCGTTTACTGCTTCAGTCGATCGTTATAGGTGAAGCTTGATTTATACGTATTCTACTGAGAATCTCATTTTGTTTCCCCATTTGATCATTATCAGATAGCGTTATCGATGATCTGTTTATAATAATATATGCGGCTGCGATCATGGGCAACCAGCCGGTCTCACCATCACTTCGGATACTCGGATCTGCTGAATCCTAAATACGACCTCGTAGCGCACTGTTCTCTTCTCTATACACTACAGCGAAGTCTTATTGGTCGAAGGGATTATCTGTGTTGGCTTGGTCAACGTGAAACGCTTTCATCAAATCTATCCTGTTACATTTGCTCATTGACCGCTCCGTGGTGCAGTCCACTTGAGGCGTACGATGAATGTGCACGGACGTCCATGAAGATCTATATTTTCAAAAAAGCTACGGTGACGAACGAAACATTGCGCCTTTCGCAATACCGCTATGGTTATCGTAACTCACCGTAACGGCGATTATCAGCTTAGTAAGCGGATTGCGTATGAACGCATGACGCCATCAGCCGAGCACAGGATTGCTATAGCTTAGCGGATCGATCCAATCTGCATTAATAGATGCCGCTGGAAGCAATCTTGAAGATTTGACTGCTACAGATTAGCTGTTTGCCTCACGGCCTTCGGCGAAAAGAGCACGCTTCGCTGTCGTGTGTACTCAGAGAAAGTACGAGTTTTGAAAATACAAAACGAGATAAAAGGAACAAGCTTCTCTAACCATGCTCCGCACTTTTAATTAAGCATCCTTCGTCGTAAATGTATAAATCGAAAGGTAGAAGGCTAATGTTGAAGTTTTTACTTATTTATTTTAACTACAATTTACCTGCATTCAGTGTTTGCTACACTTCATGAACAATATCTTGCTACAAAGGGAATCTGAGGCAGACTTTAAATTTATATCGTCGTAAGTGTTATCCCAGAGATTTTTATATGACATTAGGAATGAAGGTGGTTTTCTACTTCTACTGAATGCCTATCTATAATTATTATTCATTATCATCAATAGTGGGAATGATGCGAGGTCAATACAGGCTTGGTGTCAGAGTCAATTTTTCTAAAGTCTTCTTGATTAAATTCCGCCTTATAATAAAATGAATACGGCTTTATCTACGCATGAAGACGCTAACGTTCAGCTATTGGCTGAGCTAATTAAAAAAATAAATGTTACACTGACTCCGAGGAAGAGAATGGCCAGTGAATGAACGAATGAATCATCGTCTACCAAAAAACACCAGTAAACAAAAAGACAAGGTCGTTTTAAACTTTATTTGGTTAATATATATACATACACACTTCGTTTAATCTCTCTGCCAACATAATTATATAAGGTGGCGTCCGTATTTAGTTAGTTTCCCATTATCATGCAAATTCGTAAGCAGTAAGCAGCAGTAATGCGCACGATGTTGAACACGACGTAATATAGGCGTGGTTTAGATTAATTCATTGCGGGATTACTAAGGAAGAAAAATACTAATGAGGTGAAATTCGAAATACGACATTAGTGGTTATTTGGGTTCCTCCAATTACTCTGAAAGCGGTTTGCTTCGTGAAAATATTTGTGCAAGTCCTTATGCATTGATACAAGAGTATATAATGTAAATAATTCATACACTGAGATGTTATTATTTAATTTTGCCCTAGTGGACGTTTTTATTTGTTTAGCGAAACGAGCAAAGGTCTTTGTGATTCCGTTGTTGTCTGTAACAGTTTCTGACGAGCTGTATCCTCATACAGGACTAATAACGCTTCGAAATAAATTCACATGAGGTCTGTTTTACTAGTTTGCTTTATCAATGACGATGCTGATCACAGTCCATGAGGATCTTGAAGTCGATTGCTATTTTTTCAGCTCACCTTATGATCGCATGGCTTTTCTAAGCATAGCATCACTTATAGTAAATGTTTGCTGGTTATGATATTGCGGAAACTGTTTTAATTACTTTTGTTTGTAATGCTAAGAGGATGGTGCCGGAACATGTTCAATCTTGGCATAGGAATAATACTGATGTATTTCATTTGTATGCAGGACTTTAGTTATTTACGTTTGAGTGATCTAAGAAAACAGCTGAGAACATTCTTCATATAAAATATATGAATATTTTTGGAGAGTCTAATGAATATGACGTTTGTATTCAATTTTATGAACGACTAGTCAATATAAGATTGAATTGTTGTCGGGCGGATTTACACGCGGCAGATTTTTGGCTAAAACCTAACTTGTACTAAGTGAACACTTAACCAGGTAGCACTAACCACAGCACGGCTATCTTAAGCACGTATAGCTGGCACAGATTGACTGACAAATGAAGTACTATTGGCGCCTGCATGCCGAACAGTTCTAGCAAATAATGTGTATTGTTTCTAAAAACATTTGGCAAACTAGGTGTGTGCGGATAAACGTTCTTTTGTTTTATTATTAAAGCAAGTTTTGTTTAAAATATCCACGCAGCCGCAATACTTGAACAGACTTTATAATTAGCTAATAGAATCGAATAACGAGAGCCATGAACATATACGTATATATCATGGAGTCAATGCGTTCCTATATTCATTTGTAACAAATATTAAGATTTATCTTAAAGATAGCTAAAATTGTACTGTCTTTCTTTCACAATCTAAATCAAAATGTCCCATGCTTTATGTCTAATTTGATTCTCACTCAAGTATCGATTCAGACGACTGGTTTCCAGCACCAAATGCTTTGGACCTTATCCCAAGTTTAATAGTTAAACTTAACTAGGTAGCACCACAACACGGCTATTTTAAGCACGTATAGCTGGCACAGATTGACTGAAAAATGAAGTACGGTTAAGTATATTATTTATTATTAAGTAAGTATTAAAATGTACTTAAGCCATAAACTTTAGTAGTAGTACTACCGCACCACCATACGGATATCTTGCGCACTACACTAGGACTCATTAGACAAGGGGTACCTGTTAAAATGTTTGTAGCGCTGCTGATTTACGCCTATTTTTGACTTTTTGTAAAAAAACTAAACCTTGCGTCAGTGACTGTAGTGACAGGCTGACATATCTTTGATATGTTTTTATAAATATTTATCTCGAACAGTATTAGAGTGAGCCGAAGATAGGAATTTCAATGTCACAAAATTTATCACAAAAATGAAACATCTGATGGGCTTTCTTTCGACTAATCATCTTGTTATTTTGCACCAGCCATTGATGTAGTCCCTAAGAGCGGTAGCCCACAGGAGCAATTAGTCACAACTACTGTAAACAAAGGGGTAACATTTCAGCCGAAATTTTTCGAAAACCCGAAGTCCGGAACCGTTTGTTAGCTGTCGAAAATAGTCATTTTGCGTAGACCTTTTTCCACAGTGAAGCTTTCTAAGTGATCTTCGAGTGTTCGAGTGAGAAGCAAATTCACGGACCGATGTTTACATATCACAAACTAAATAGTAGTGAAATCCTTTTACGTGACATAAATTGTAATTCCGGCGTAACAGTCTGCACATCCTTACAGACTTCAGCGCACGACTTCAATGAACCTCATTTAGTGTGTACGTCCGACGAAAACAATCACTTCAAGTAGCACGGGATATCAAACGCTTCGTTTGCAGTAAACGGGACAAGTCTTGGTGTAGATTATGGTTATCGTGAGTTTACGGATCGAATTAACTGAAATGCCTGTTGGCAATGAAGCACATACATATCTATCCACTCATCTCTTCTACACAAAATCAGCATGGGTAAAGAAGAGTTTTCGCTTTTTTTTTTTTTATATCTAGTCTTTTTTGTTTGGAGGTTGAGGGCAAATGCATTATGCAGACCAGACATCACTGAATTGTGCTCTCTCTGGTACTGTGGGACTCTCACCCACTAAACCCTGGACCTCTTCACCAGTCTGGGTCATCGTTCGGGATATATTTGATATTGCTTCGAAACCATGACCTGCAGGAACGGTCATTTCGTCATCACTCCCTCTGAACCGTTCCAGTCATTTTTATATATATATATATATATCTCAGTGCTTTCAACCTTAACTTGTCATTACTTCTAATCAAATATTCAAACGTACCATTCGCGTTCAGCTGATTTGTCTACTGTGGGGCACCCATTCACTTACTGTAACATTGAGCCTCCTACGTATCTCCTACGTTCGGAATACAAGTGCAGGTAACCATGAATATGAAGCGCCAATATCGCCAACTTAACAATAGCGAACCTTATTTTGAATCCTTTATTCCCTTTCAGTCCTCATCCTCAACAGTTACACCGTAATACTTCACGATATAATTCCATATGCCCTTAGGTAACGTCGTATTAAATTAATACGATGGGCCACAATCTGTAGTTCTTTGGCGACTTCAAGATTTGATGGTATATAGTTGACCAATTCCACGGGTGTGTTGCGATTCTCCGGATCTACGTATAATGTTGTGATCGCATTAATTGTTTTGTAGAGTTTATTTAATCTCGCTAGATGCTCAAATACGTCCGGCAGCCGTCGTAACGTCTGATATGCCAGTTCTGTTCGAGACGGTGATTGAGAAACATAGAATCTCCCCTGGCAGCGTTTTTGCTCTCCTCTTTTTCGCTGCTCTTTTACTCTCGACTTCTCTAAATGAGAAATTAACGTTACCAGCGTCCTGTCTGTTTCTTTATTGAACAGCGGGCATAAGCGTAACGCTGGTTCTATTTGGTCTACATATGCCTGCACAACTCTTTCGCTGATTAGATCATCGTTCAGTTGATTCCGGAGTGCTGTTGTTTGTTCCTTTAGTATCTCAAAATCCTTGTCTATTTTGTCCCGTACGACCTTTCGAACGCCACCGAACTCGTCAGAAGGGCCCCTCCATCTTATTTTCAAATAAACTGTGTAGGTTCCACAAGCTTCCGCAACATCTCGATGAGATTCTGGCCTGTTTTCCAATTCCAGTATCAAATGCTCCTGCTCCATCACGATATTTTTGGTATGAAGAAATTCAAACCAATCTGGGGCACTAGATTTTTTCAGCGAAACGCAGCTCGGAAAAGCTGGAAAACATTCCGCGGGGTCCTAAAACAAACATGCATTCGAGATAAAAAACAAATGAAGGCGATAATGATATTACTGAACAAATCATCCAAGGAAAATATATTATAATAACTAATCTGTTGAAAATTGGTTAGCACAGCAGTACTGTATCCGATTCATGATAGACTGCTCCATGAAGCCTGTGATTCTGCTATCTAACCTATTACTTGTTTTGCAATAAAAACTAACCGAATGATCGGCTAAAATACGTAAAGGAATTTGATTTTAGCAAATGTACTATATATATACACATATATATTTTTTGTATGCCTATACTAAGCGTATATATAGGTCACTCAACTCCATTGCGTCGCATCAGAATCCCAGAACCCGTATTTAACTGGATCATATGTTTATGATCCAGTTATATATATGGATCTCTGTTACGCACCTCCGGAGTGATCTGACATTAGAGAATTTAAGAGGGTGTTTTAATCTTCCAAAACTTCCGTAATGTGTGAATTAGCAACTCAAGCCGTTGCTGTCACGTCTGCTTTTTGACCGGGATTGAAAAGTACTACTTTTGCCTATATAAAAAAAATTAGTATCAAACAGGTTAGTAGGAGTTGAACTTTTTGTACAGATTTCCACCCTATCCATTGTGGAGGTTTTCACTACCCGCTTCACTGACCGCGTTCAGTTAGAACTGAAGCTGTGGTCGACAACCCGGGCTTTTTTTCTTCACCGTTTGACAGATCTTGTTGTTTGAGCTTAGCAAGCATGGAGTACCTCGAACTCATCTAAATAATTTGATTACTGCCGCTCAAAAGATTCCGGTAACACATGACGTAATTCAGTGCACACCGAGCAGACGTATGAAAGCGGAGAGGTCATCCGACGTGAAGCAGATACCTGCTATATCATTTTATATATATCTTCCTCTAAGTAATGTTCATGTTGGAGGCAAGAAATAAGCCGAAAATAAATACGGCGACAACCGTGTCGTATAACTTGCACAGACAACTTACTTCATTTTTTTCCAACCAGGATTTATAATTCTGCAAAAATGATAGGCGGTTAGGTTGATCCCACTTGATATCACCAAGCGCGTCGGACAAAGTAATGAAGTATACATTAACATCTTCGACATTGCCTGATGATGCCTTGATGTCTGCTATAGCTATTTCTACCTGCAATCAGTCACGGTGAAGACATTTCACAATTATCATATTTGGTTGTTTAAACTTTTGCAGTTACAAGAGAAAGCTTAATGAATTAAATCTATTTTAGCTAACTAGCTTTTAGCGCATAATTTCTTCTGTTGTTATAGCCTTGCGAGGAGAGCATCTTGTCAACAAAAATTCTTTATTAAAAACATAGTATCAAGCTGAATCACAATGCAATTGTAAACACAATGTCCCGTGTCAACATTGTTTAGCCTTTGCTTGCTAAACTTTTTTTTCTTTTACAGAGATAGGAACTAGTTTAAGCGCGACCGAAACACCCGGGTCTATATCGCTTTATTGTTCATCACAGATGAAAGCGGACCGTAATGGCGCAGAGCACGATAAAAGCTATTGTTTCCTTAGTTACTCCTTCTGAGACCTGCCATCATTTCAAAACGACTTTATGTATATATATATAACCTCGCTTGAATTGAGGCAAGGGGAAAGTTGCTTCTGTGTCTCACCCTCCTCCTGCGTTTTGCTTTCCTTCTTCCCCCCTCCTGCTTCTTCCCCAAGTCGCTCTCTCACCCAGTCCAAGAGTGTGGTCGACCTCGTAGCGATTTTCCACGTTGACCTGAGCACGGACATTACATTCTGCGATTCGTCTATCGTTGCCATATAGATCTAGCACGAACCTTGTTTAAGCAATGTCTAAGTGAGGTCGCCGTTATTACTGTCATACCAGAATTGCATGGCTGGCCATCTTTTCTTCTTGGTTTATGACCATTTTTCTTGTTCGTATGAGAATACAATATACGCATATAGTCATTCAAATACCGGTTCACTCTTCATTAGAAGATTCTAGCATACAGTCTTCGCGAAGACACCTTAAATTGCTATAGCCTCTTGTGCCGTAAGCAAGGTCTTCTACGTACCTAGACTACATATATTCGCGTATATCGGAGAAGCACACAACGCTAGAGATTTTTGTCACCGCCACTAAAAAGCCCCTTAAGTCTTTTGAAGAATTTTACCATTCTAGCCAGAAGTTGCCTTTGCGATCAAGTGAACGCATTTTTTTTAATCTAGTTATGAACTAATGACCCGACAAATAGCCCCGTCATAAATTGACAATGAAATGGGATGATAATCAAGAAGCTTGTAACGCTGCGTATCGAGAGTATACCGATATCATTGAATTTTTGTTTATCGATTCCGTGGCGTTAATGCCGGAGTCGGCCCGTCACAGAATAAGCACTGATCGCAATTGAACTTAAACGTTTGGATGGTACCCGCGTGCTTCGGATAATCAGAAAATCGCGCCCATAGAATATAACCCATAAGGTGGGGCAGAAAAAACGTAACGTTTGAGTACTGATGATGGAGTCATCAGCCCGTAAGTCTAACTACACATACCTCGTTGATCAGATTGGCACAATAGTTGAGCACGATAAATTGACACTCGGGATTACTGTCGTATCTGTTTAGTTGAATAAGTATATATTTCAATACGCTGACGTCCCCATCAGTATCGCACACCTACGCGAGGAGAAGCAACCAATAACTGTTATCAGTGTTATAGTGAAATGGTGCCACCTACCCGCCAATAAAACTCGATCGTTTTGAATAGTTATAACAAAAACCATCGATGAAATGACCATAGAAATGAAATCGTAGAAAAAAAGAGTAGCTAATTTTACTAGAAGTAGATACCCACTGACCTCGTTCCATTATTTAATAATGACAAAAGAAAAAAAAAAACGAATACCATAGTGCTGCGATCATCCCAAGACCTAGTCCAGGACCCAGTACGAGTGCGCTAATTCAGATCTTACAAGTTGTGTACAAAGGAAATGTCACATTAGGCAGTGAAAAATTTTCGAGGTAAAATATTATAAATAAAAATCATAACATAAGTGGTTAAGTGCATAGTTAATGTATCTAAAAGACAAGTATTAAACGACTCGTACGTAGGTCATAAAAGTACATAGCGAAACGTTAGCCCAATGAGTACATCGAACTGTTCGGCATTGATAAGATCATTGTTTACCCTATAATGCTAATTAGCACCTGCCTTTTCTAGTGAACCTTCAGCATTCAGATATTTACTCATCAACGCCATGAAAGACTTGAGCTTTACTGCCACTTCCGATACTGGCGACAGCATCTCCCGTTTGTTTGTTTCGAACTCGGAAAGTTTGATTCCTCGCAATGCAGCTCGCCGATCTGTGGAGCACTGCGATCTTCTGCGCTGTCGGTCCGGCATTGTTTCGGAGACATGAACGCGTCTCAGAGGTGATCCTAGCAGAGATGCCATAGAAACCAGCTTACGGAAATATCAGCAAAAAGAGACAGTTCTCTATTGATCACACGATCTAATAAGGTAGCCATACGAGTACTTCTGTAGTTTGCATTTCGTTTTTGTAATAATTAATAATCTATTCGGTTGGAGAATTTCGTTCGTAAGACGGACGCCGCCTCAGCTGACTTGCTACACTGTGTAACATAACAACGATAGTGATATGAGAAAGGGCCACGTGTCCTAAAAAGGAAAATTTTCAAAAAGGTAAATACATGTTGTTGAATTTGTCATGACGTTAATCTTTTTTTAGTGCAGTTCATGATGCAACATTTGGGGTGTGTTACGAGTTTCTACACTATCTTATCCTCGTCTGCGCGCAGGATTACTTTGCTCGAAACGAGAACCGTCGTGGTAGTATCACGGTATAGAGGCTTCTTGATGAAAACTTACCAGCTCGTATCCCGGTGCCCCCCTAGGCTGGCCTTAATGTTACTTTGAGCACTTTTTTTAAAAACGATAAGCAAAAACCCTTGAGTATATTCTTCGTTCGCTTAATCCTTTCACCAATTTTAATCCTAATTATTTTTTGTCTTTATTAATTGTTATATAAAATTAATCGTTATTGCTATTCCACCGATGTCTCTGAAATGGCTATTCTACCCATGCGAAGCTCTATTTGTATCGTTTGTCGAGAGAACCGACTCCGGCAGGTGCCCTCAGCTGCTAAAGAATACGGAAAGCGGCACCTAATTACTTGTCTTAAGGATTCAATCTTAAGAAATTCTACAACACATTCATACATATTGGAACTAAGCTGTGGAGTTGCAGAATTTTCAGCAATGATCACAGTCCTGCCTATGTGCATACTGCCTGTTAATGACTGCTATTAAGGGCAGTACCTCCTAGTAGATCATAACGGACGAGGTGCTTCTTGTAAGCTAAAAAGCTGACTCTACTTTGAAACACACAAAATCGGTCTCTAACTATATGGCTCCATCTAAAAAAAACAATTCAAAAGCAAATAAAAACGAAATTTCGTCCTTCGCAGCAATCGAGCGATTAACGGAAGCCTACCGCGCCGATTGTTAAATACTGATCATACAGGATTAAGTTGGTCAACACATGATTAGTAGCATGACGTGTTTTTACCCTACTTCGATACTAAATAGATGCGCACCGCTCTAGCTTTAGAAACCCAACCCAAATTAAACAAGTTGGAACTCCCTGCTCCTGAACGCCTACCCAACTGTATACCTAATACAGATTTTTTTACCCAACCGTATCCCTAATACAGATTTTTTTAAAATTAAAAGTACAGTAATAACCCAGTTGGTTAAAAAAAAGTATTAGTTGCTCAGGGGGAACCTTGAAGCTATCAGAATCAAGGATACAAAACCAAAGAAGGAAGGGGGCATAAATATCGTTAAGCGTAAGTGTCTGTATAATACCGGAGCTCAAATCATGAGAACCAAAGAAGGATAGAAGAAGTGGCATAATTGATAAACATCAGTAAGTGTCTATATAATAAAGGAGCTATCGTAGTCGATTTCTTCTATATCGATATTACGCCGAACGGCGTAATAAATATAGATTTTGTATTTTGTACATTTATTGTGGTACGATTCTCATATATGGTTACACATTGGCCGTCCGTGCGTGTTGTGCCACGTTTCAGTAGCTTTGGTCTTTTAAGATTTTTCGGGTTTCTGGAGTGCTTCACACCTTTTCTTGAACCCGTCAACATCGGCGGCCCAAGCTTTCATAGCGCAAACAATCTGGTTATCCTCCTCTGGCCTCACATACACATCGTGGACAGTCTTGCGATTTTCAGGATCCGTATAAGCCTTTTTAAGCTGAAACATACGCTCATACAAGCTGCAGAAGTAGTCCCTCCAATTTTCAAACTGTCTTAATAAATCATATGCGTCCTCTGTATCGTTTTGGTTTAGACTAAATGTAGCTTCGTCCATCATTCGTTTCATGTCTGGCACCGCTGCTAAATTCTCCCTAAGCGCAGAGATAATCTCATCAATTGCAGCGAAATCATTGTCTATCTTAGTCCGAATTCGGCTCATAACTGAAGCCAGCTGAGTCGCAGGCCCCGGCCATTTCAGTCTCAAAGTGGTTTGGAAAGCGGCCTCGGGATTCTTAGGGTCCAAGGGATCGCACTTGTATTCTAAGGTCATAGAATTCGGTTCCGTACGAATAACTCCACTGAGAAGTCTGCTTTTCCATTCCCGATCATTTACGTGACTCAGCATCGGCCAGTCAGGAAAGTCAGGAAATTTAGATTCCAGCCACTAAAGGGAAAATGTAAAAATTTTGAATAAAAATTTTCGCTCTACGCAAGACTTCCGTTACTGCTTTAGGACATCTGCGTTATTTTTTGACAGATGTACCACTCTAGTTAAACCCCCATATTCTCAGTATAAATAACATATTATATTTCTTCATATATATCATATTTCTTTTTATTAAAACCTGGACTGCTTGATTAAATAAAGAAACAATGGGAGCAGTAATACTTTATTGATGAAGATTCTGCCATATTTGCGAACACCTATTTCTCTTCACAAAGTCGAACTACAGCTCGAGCTCAACAGGAAACAACTTATTATATATCGATATATTGTTCCATCTCGTGGCGAAAAATTTCAATATTCCTCTACGGATAGATAGATAAAGCTATAGAATGTAGCGTATGTGAAGCAAAAATATTCACCCTGTAATACTCTATACCCTCTTGGTGAGAATATGGATTTCCGTCATATAGGTCCATAAAATCGACGATGATTGGCTTTGTTTGGGTAACAGTGCCAAGTTCGCCTAACTCGACAATGAAGCCGGCATCTGCTTCCGGTCCCTCACTTTCAGGATCGACAAAGTTTATCATGGAGATTTCGATCTGCAATGATAAATCATTACTACAGCTCGTCTGAACGCCGGACTGAAGTCCGCATGGCGGGCATGACCACTCGGGGGTAAATTTACCGTGTCCAGGGCGCCGTAAATGATGCGTCACGAAAAGGTGAGCGAAATTGCTCCCATAATGAGTCGCCACATGATGATACCTAATTGCTACTCGATTGGCCGTCCAAGGCAGAACTTACAATTCATTAGTTTATCAGAAGGGCGGGAAAAATCATGAAATTCGAAAATTTAGCCGAACAGCACTTCATAATGACACCTCTTCGTAGTTTTGCAGTTAATTTATGCACATTTATATACTCGAAATTGAACGTATGTATTCGTACGTGTTAATCATGCCTTTCATAAGATTTTCCATATTCCGTATTATAGCGCTGCTTTTGTTCTTATTACTCATGAAGCCAATTTAAGTTGATGTTCTCCTATTTTCTGTAATTATCCGCTAATTTGAAAGATTACCTTAGTTTATTTTACTCTAAATCAGTATAGTTGTTAATCTAGACTTAGCCATGTTTATCTCTTCCAGTTCGCCGGTCCTGCCTGTGATGGCCACAGTTGGTCACACAGCTTAGTCGTCGATCGTTTCTTAAGCCAGGGTCAAAGCTACTTCGCGGCTCTCAACAAGCTACGTTTGTTGTACTTATTTTTTCGACTCTCACTCGATGTTTCGAAGCATTGAAGTCTTCCAACTAGATAGGCTTAATGCAATCTTAAGTTTGATGTTGCGCGTATGCACAACTCAGTTGATGATAACTAGTTTTCTTATGCGATAGCTTGTTGAGGCTTCGCCATTTGTGACCTTAGTTTTTGTCGGTACATTGTTTATTGTTTCAAGTTTAAAGGCAATGCCTCTCTGCTGTTACGAAGTATGCTGCTATTGCTTATAGTGATTAGATGTGCTTTGTGTGAAGGTTGCAAAAACCTTCACATCTATTGAAGCCAATACTAGCATTTCACGAATCGAGCGGCAGCCATTATCACTGTTCAATAAAGAAGAGCACTAAAAGAGATCAGCTGAGAGAATATGGCCAGATATTTGCTTCCTTAACATTCAGTGTCCTGATCTGATGGGTATAGCTTTTAACAAAGTCGCTGTTCAAACGGAAAGCAACATACGGCGTACGGTTCTAACACATTTGACGTGTGTTTTTTTTTCTTAAAAACTCTCGTTTAGATGTGAAAAGCACAGGCCTGCTAACCAATCTCTACATGATGACGCGTGGGGAAAGGGACGGTTGGACAAAGACGAGTGTAAAAGGAAGATTCCTTTTTAGTGGTTGGTTAAAAAAAAATGTAATACTGAAACGCGCCGTCCTACAAATATTCATCATTTTTTCATATTAAAATGTGTTTCATTTTTCGTGCTCTGTGCTGATAATAATAACACAATTATTCTGAGCCTACCTTGGCATCAGCTATATCCCCGATTGGGAGCTGGAAGCGGTTGAGATGCTCAACAACCAAAATATGCTATGATTTCCTGTTTGTAACCGAGTGGGTTCGAAGTATGCCTAAAGCTGAAATCGAGAATATTAGGAAAACCCTCGCCAAAACTTGCAAGTTAATGATATTTCATTTTAAAGGTAAACTTCTTTCAATACGGAGTTGTTTTCGGACGCAATCACTGTCCTTCATAATACGTATTATTCTGCATGACATTTCTCTTGCGAACTGCTACGTTTGAGATAAAGATTACAAAATTCTGCTAAAAAAAAAAAACAAAGCTACATGTAACAAAAGTAATTATTTACTTTTGTCATAAAGTGCACCTACCTGGTTCAGCAAACAAATGGAAAAATCAATGAGATTCCTCTTTGTCTCTTCATCTATATCGGGATTCTTCATTTGAGTGAGCATGTACTTCAATATATCGACGCCTCTGTAGGTGGGGAAAACCTGGGTGGATGGTAAATATTTATAGCTAATTTAAAATTAGTGATTAATGCAATTGAATCTATTGATGAAGTATCATACACTAAAACTGTCAAACGTAAAATGAATGCGGGATAAAAGCATGAGAAATCAGTAATTTTCATTGTAGAATCGTGCCATTTGATGAAACCATTTTGGTGAAACGGCGCGTACGTTCTAAGTTTGAGCCGCTTAATCTAGACACAAAGGTCAAACAGATCAGTCTACGTAGACATGTCTACATACATGTATGTGGTATATACATATAGGAATGGTTCGTTATATATATATTCTAAGAGCTCACGAAGATTTGCGGAATGACAACTGAATTATACAAAACAAGTAATATTGATTTTAAGGTAAGGCTGCAATGTCACACTGCAGCCTTATGCAGATCAGATTCAGCTTTTTCGAGGAACTGTCTTCCACTAAATAAGTAGAACTAATAACAACGCAGTCGAAACACCATTTTACGAGCATTTTTTTTACGAGAGAATTTACGAGCACACGTGGTCGTAAACATTCGAAACTAGGCGTAAGCGGGCTTATTTTGGTACGGGGGATGTATATTCATAACTCCCATTGTACGAAAAACGTGATGTATAACTCCAGTATCAATAAAGATTACACCACCGTCGGATAATTGCCGACGGTAGATCGGCAACTAGATCTGCCTCATTTAATCAGAACCCAAACACGTAAAAGGAACGATCGTCGTCCAACGCAGCCGATATTGTTCCTCGTGTGAGCAACTATCAGATAAAATTAATATTTTATCTGACAGTTGCTAATTCTAATAAATTCTCACACAACAGCAGACGGTATGTGATTAGCTAATATGCACCAAATTCGATCTACCTGCTGGAGTTCATTTTTTCCACGAAGATAGATTGTCATCAACGACATGAATCCTATAAGCTTTGCCAATGCGTCCGTAGATTTCAGACTTGCTCTCCGACTTAACGCATCTTTACCCGCGTCTGTCGCCTGCTCGGATGAGGCTCGTACACCTCCGCGTAGCGTAGTGCATCGTCTCGACGGGAGTCTATTGCGTTGTAAGCGCCTCCTATGCCGGACTGATACTGGTCGAGAACGGGAATGTCGCCGAGAGCGCGAACCCGAAAAGACAACCATTAAACCACACGGTAACAGACGCGTCAAGTTCGGCTTAGGACAAATCCGATTTACTCATTTGATGAAATTTCGTTTTCGCTACAGCTAACACGCCATATTGTTATATAATAGTATAGTGGAACGTTGTCAGCGGAATAATTTCGAATAATAAAGCTATTATTTCGAGTTTAGTAGTAGCAACGATTTCGGTGTTAATCCCACGACTAAAGTGCACACTTGTACGGAGGCACTTGCTACGAATCAGTCTAAGATCGTCAATTATCGGCTCAGATTTGATCTTCACACTATATAGATCAATCTGTTATAAGTCACTAACTTTTACTCCTTACGTAGAAATGAACACCAACGCTAGAGCTTCTGGTTGGGAGTACGAGTTCCTCCTATACATATGAATAGGCAACGGAAAGACATCGGCTTCATAGTGATTTTTGTATCGAAGGCCTAAGGTAGCATCGCTGTTTCTATCCGATCCAAGTGATATCGGCTATCTAACAAAGTGTAAGATCACTGGAGATACATATTGACCAGGTAAAATGCTGGTATTCCCTTAGTAACTTCTGCCGACTATCCCACAACTTTCGGCCCTCGAATCCTTTTAGATAACGTTACGACTCTAGATAGGGGGTTGGCCTTACAGTATAATGCAAGCCTGCGTAGCTTTTCTAAAAACTCTTTTTTACTAATCGCAAAATTGGGCCGAATACACGTAGATTGGTTACTCATTGCGTAGCTCGTTATTAGCGACTAACAAATAGGACGACTTTTTTGCGGTTCCTAGCAAACATTCTATTAGCTGATTTAAAAGCGGGTGGACGTTTGCTCGTCGTTTCAATTACGTAACGGAGATTAGCTAATAACAGATTCGCTTTTTCTACGATGTTCGCGTGCAGTTGAATCATTTCCTAATCAGGAATGTTTACTAAGCAAGATTACCTTTTTAACATTGAAAACGTCCTCTCGTTTTGGTTACCTTGAGAGTTTGCTCTGAATGCTACGTGATCGTACCATAGATATGAACATTGTCTGACAACTGAATAAGCGTCCGTCCACCCGCTGAGAAAAATTTACAAAGAAATGAAGCTAAGAATTATAAGTTTTCCCGAACGCGAGCTAAGGTAGTCACTTGTTGAAGTCGTTTTCGAGACTTCAAATACATTCGCCAGTCTTTTCTTGCTTCTTCATAGAGGATATATGGGAGGGAGATCATAGGGTTTTTTAAGGTAGGCTATAGAATGAAGCCTCTTAGAGCCACTCATTTAGACTATTGGCCAGCCATTAATTACCATTCCTTTCGTAATTTTATGCAACAAATTTACACGGAAAGGCAAGATAAACCGGAGGCTTTATCTTGACATAGAGTCAGTCAATCAAGTTTGTTGGGACAAGTTAGATCGTAACTATTTATCATAGGAAAAATTTTAAAAAGATGATCTTTCTTCATTTTTTAATAATCAACGACCAATGCCAATAGGCAAGTTAGGCGTAATGTTTGCGTCCTTGTTATTCCAGGTGTGGGACTGCGATTAGTCGGACCGTTAGTAGGTTGTATGCATGACATGTGACAGCTTCTGAGAGCCATTGGAAGTATTCCAAACATGTGCGGGACGTTATCGGTTTTTTTAGTAGTTTATCTAATGGTGGCACAAACAGATCACTATAATATTCAGTTCCTTTTTACTGATAGTACTAGCCTCTTTTCATTTGATAATAAAAGGATGCAAAATCATACCACAACAAAATTACTGGCCAGACAGGGCGTTAATTACTACACGTTTTTTTTTATTGATGTTTTCGTCTTTCTAGTTGACTTGTTAGAACCTTTCAAAGCGGGAGACGCTGTTTTTTGTAAGCGTTCCAGCAGTTTCAGCGATTTTGCTATAGTTGGTGAAGTATATGGTCGTATCCTAACTTAACGCGCTCTATCCCTACAACGGTACGAAACTACTAAAAGAACATACTCTTTACGCGGTTGTTTGTGCAGTTTTGTATTTTTAATAAATCGTCAGTCCTATATCCTCTGGACGGAGAAAGTAAAAGTTATCATATATATTGAGCTCGAGAAAAATAAGCAGATTCTGCAGATTGTGAAGTTGCAGTTACAGGTTGCTCTGTCTACCAACACGTTCGAACGCGTAACGTGGTTCAGACTGGACGCGATACGACTTCGTGCTAGGAGCTAGATGTCTGAAGCAATGCTTAACGGCGTTCCGGACAAACTGTTTCGCATTAGATATATACTTTGCCAAAAGTCAATATGCAAACTTCTATAGGCCAGGTATGTCATATTCCAAGTTCGGTTCGGGATAATCTTTCCGCTCTCCATCTATCTGCTACAACAGCAACGCGTATCCGCAAACAATACAGAAAAAGGAGAAAAACTTATAGGATTCTATGTTAAAATTACATCGGCCGTCTAAGGCATTAAGCAAGTTAAGTTATTTCTGTATTGTTTGCCTTCCAGTCTGTATTTGCAGGATATTTATTCGCATGTATTTACACGATAGCGAATGAAGCACAAAATACTACCCTCAACGCCGTCAAGCCTCAGTGAAGTTTACGCGGGGTTGCAGCAGTTCTCGCAATAGTCTGTGTACGCAATTTATGCGTGATCTGCAACAAAAAAGATAATTTACTTTCAGGAAGGCTGCATTTAATCCTCGTCCAGCGTGCAATTAGGCCTGATTAGGTACATAGAGGAAGGTGCGCCATGTTGACCAGGGGGTTTATTTGACGCGGCTGCCGAAAATAACGGTCGACACAAGAGAGAAAGTACAATAGTCCATTTCACTAGAACAATATAGAAAAACGTTCTGGTCTCAGATCGACCAACAGGATTTTATTATTCTCTCAAAAAAATAGCTATAGTTTTTTTGTGTCTTTAGATAATCACAGTTACTCAAAGACCAAGATTACTCAAAGACTGCATGAACCAGGTATGGGCCTATAGGAGACACTAACGATATAGTTGACATCAAAACTATCGGAAACTGCCGATCTATAAAAAAAAAAAGCGCTCCTTAAGACGAATATTTTCTTTATTAATGTTATTAGTGCCTGCTTGTCATACAATCAAATGGTGCGTCCGTAATCTGTAGAAAAAAGAACCTAAGGACACATATCCGGACTGAGATTGTTTAACATGGACAAGGTGTCTCAATGATATGGTTTTGCGTGATTAAGCTAGAACAGAAACCTATGAATATTGGGTTTATCAGTTTGTAAAGGCCGCTGTAACAAGGTCAGACAAACTGTTATGTCAACTGCGAAAGGATGAACGGCCATCACCATGGAGAAATTCTAATAGAATATCACAGGCCCAGATTCGCCAGAAACAAGCCATAGATGAAATACGACAAAAATTAGATTTGTTACCTATCATATCTAGTACGCGATATTGATTGAGGTATAGACTCCAAAAAATCGATCATAACCTAAGCATCTTTCGCGGATCTACGATAACCGGGACGGTGGAATACTTGTTGTCTATAACATACTTTATCATTGAATCTCCATCAGCGTCAACGTCTCTCACTGCATAAGAAAGTCGCTGAAGCAGGTGAACTCTGCCACGACCACCGTCACTGACGTGCGTCCCCTTAAGGGAGCTCGTTCCGAAAAAAGGCCTGGTATTCGCTCTGTATGTGTCAATTACACATCTTGAGAGAGACCAGAAAAATAGCACCATATTGACGATATTGTAGGGATTTTTCAGGATTGTATATATGTATAATAAAATAGTAAATATAATAGAAAACTGTATGTAGATTTTAGCGGGTTCCAGTGTTTACCGTGCTAAAGGTCCCCTTGGACTCATATGCTTGTTTATAACTGATCGAAGGTCCTGTGATTACTTGGTCATCACCTGGTCAATCCAATGTTGCGACTACTAACACTTGAAAGCTTCTATTTTATTGTATTTAGACTATTTGTTGTTGTTTTAGAAAAGTGCTGTCCTCGTCACACCTTTTATCAGTTATTGCCGAACTGAGACCTATAAAATCTATGTTTTTTCGCATACCTTAGGTTGATCGCTAGACGTAACCAGAAACAAACATTATGATATCCACGATAGTAGTCCTACGACGCGAATTATTTGCATTTAAGGCTCGTAACTATATGGAGCTGTGGCTTGCCACTTTTCATGGAAGTGAAAACTGGCTAAGTTCTAAAAATAGGCCTTTAACGGAAAGCAAATCTGCCAGGGACGCCTGTAAACTTGCTTACTATTAGATAATTGTCCCTGTGATGGACAGTTTACGGTGAATTACATTCACTGGAACCTCTATAGGAAAGTTGAATTTGAAGCGCATCAGAATACAGTAACATGGCGTCAAACAAAAATTTCCACAAACAGATTCTGAAACAACGAGTGGCAAGGTGAATGTAAATTCGCGAACATAATTCGCGTTTAATTAGTGTCCTAACCTCCGTGGCTGTCAATCGTAAAAATGGGTTTGTAAGCTTGCAGTATTGGAACAGTTGGCAGCATCAGATCATGGAAACAAAGACGTTGTTATAACGTGTCTTAATTATCGTAAAAATTGCTCGTTGAACGACATATTCGTTTCGTTGACTACAGTTAGCCGGTTAAAACTCAATGGGAGACATAAAGTGGTGTCAAGGTATTGAAACAACGTACTTTTTTAGTGACCTTTCATTGAAAAGGTTGGGCAACTTTCGAGCTCTATAATTGCACTAGCTGAGTTTCTTTAGATTTCTCAGAAGTCAAGCGGCAGCGACAGGGAAAAAAACCTAAGTAACTAGCTTGTTAATATGTTACACGAAGTACTCCTATGCTTCTTACGACACCTTGCAGGATCTGCTAAAGAACCCCCAGAAGGTTTCAGCAAGACCCCCTCCCCCAGCAGTTTTTGAAGCACAGGCTACGCATCTAGCTGAAGTCACTTGGAAGTTACAATGTGTTCATACATGAATAAAGTATTGTTTTGAAGGCGACAGAGCGGGTGTATTTTAGTGCTCTATTCTAACAAGAGCGACATTATTCCTATCTGGAAATAGCCTGAAATTTGCAACTTGTCTGAGTATTTCCGGCCCACGTTATATATTAGTTTAAATATTTTTACATATAACCG